TGTCCCCCTAACTATGGAGTCCCCAATGACTAATGCTCTCCTCCTCTCCCCCCTTCCCCCTTCCCTTCTGAGCAACAGGGACAGACTCTGTGCCAGAGACCTGTACCCCATGGCTTACCCCTGGTAAGTCGTCCCCCCCAACAGTATCCAAAACGGTATACTTGTTTTTGAGGGGAACGGCCACAGGGGATCCCTGCACTGTCTGCCTGTTCCCTTTCCGTCCCCTGACTGTAACCCATCTACTTTTTTCCTGTACCCGAGGTGTGACTACCTCCCTGTAACTCCTCTCAATTACCACCTCAGCCTCCCGAATGATCCGAAGTTCATCCAGCTACAGCTCCAGTTCCCTAACACGGTTTCCGAGGAGCTGGAGTTGGGTGCACTTCCCGCAGATGAAGTCAGTGGGGACACTAGTGGTGACCCTTACCTCCCACATTCTACAGGAGGAGCATACAACTGCCCTAACATCCATTCCCACTGTTCTGAATTCCCAAACAGACAAATTAAAAAAAAAAACTAGTAGCCTTACCAAATCAGCGCTCAGAACCTTTTATTTTTGGTTAGACGAGGAGGATGAGTGGGAGACACTACCTAGGTAGTGTTTCGGGTAAAGCAACCGCCCAAATATATTACCTCACTTACTCACTCCAAAAATGGAGTCACGCGAGGTAAGACTTTTATAATCGAAAAAGCTCACCTTCCCAGGCTGCCCTCGCGCTTCCTCCCGGACTCCCGCCGCTGAAACAACTGAAAAACGTTTCTGTAATCGCTATGATATTGCAGTCCCATATTACCAACCATGCCCTGAGTTCATCTGACTTACCCGTTAGTCCCCTTCCAATTCAGGTGCAATCTGTCCTTCTTATAGAGGTCATTTCTATCCCAGAAGAGATTCCAATGATCTAAAAACATGAATCCTTCTTCCCTGCACCAGCTCCTCAGCCATGCATTCATCTGCTCTGTCCCCCTACTCCTATCCTCACTAGCTCATGGTATTAGGAGTAACCTATATATTACTACCCTCAAGGACCTACCCTGCCTAATTTCCTCTATTCTTGCCTCAGAGCCTCATCCTTTTCTCTTCCTGTGTTGTTAGTTCCAACGTGTATGATGACTTCCTGCTGGTCCCTCTCCCCTTTGAGAATATTCTTGATCCTAGCACCATTCTGATGTCTCATTGTCAGCCGCAAAATGTCTGTCTGTGCCTCTGACTAGAGAGCCCCCTATCACAATCGATTGCTTGGAACCTAGTGTACCCCTCGTTACATTATGGCCAGTCTCAGTACCAGAAACCTAGCTGTATATGTTACATTCCCCTGAGAGTCCATCATCCGCTACATTTTCCAAAAGCAGCATACTTGTTTGATATGGGGATAGCCACAGGAGACTCCTGCACTACATGTCTACCTCTCCTGCCTTTCCTAGAGCTAACCCATCTACCCGTCTGTATCTGTGGTTTTTCTACCTTCCTACAACTGCCACCAATCACACCCCCTAGGCTCCTGTGAATTCCTCATTGCCTCTTACTGCTGCTCTAACCAATCCATGCGATCTGATGGGATTCACAACCAAACACAATTCCCACAGACATAACCATCGGTAACATGGAAACTCTCCCTAATCTCCCATATCCGACAGGAAGATCACATTACTCAAGGCCGTATTTGCACTTAATCTACAGGCCCAGAAAATAGCACAATCTTACTGCTCTAATAACACTGCTCCAGGATAACTTTTTACCTATGTTTCATATTTTTAAAGTTTAATCAAGTGAAAGATCTCAACAAAACATAAACTCAAAAAAAAACTCTACTCACTATTGTAGATTTACAAAAAAAACAGTAAGGTTACAACAAAAAAAACGCTTAGCTGTTCCCCAGCTTGAGCTCCGCCGCCAGGTTTTTCCAAAAACAGCTGTGAATTTCACGGTTTGTTTATTTTTCTCAGAAAGAACTCTAATGTTCAGAGATACTTGAAATTAAATATCAGAGGCAGTCAGCTGTAAAGGTTCACTCCTAGTCAGACAGCTGTGCAGGTTTACTGCTCTGTTTTTTGTCTACCTCCCACACAGTCCCTGCTTTATCTCTCTTCCTACTTTTTCAAAGTGCAGTTGTTTTGATCTTTTCTTCCCCAAAGTTCTGAAACAATGCAACAGCTTTTATAAGACCGTAATTATTGCTCCAATAATTCAAGGAAATCAGCTCCAATACTGAAAATACCTCAAAAAAGATGCAGCTCTTACAGCCACAAATTTTTCCCATCCTCCATCTTGGATTACCCTGAATCTTTTTCCCTGTTGATTCTGTGAAGCCACCAAAAAGTATAAATACAAAGAAAATATAATTTCCAATTCTCAAGCTTTTGGCTCCCATTTCAACAGGGACGCAAAATTACCTCAAAAACTACAAAAGTCTCTCTGTTCTTCAAATATTTTTGCAGTGTCAATTGGAAATGAATAGGTTTAAGAGTCGTTCACCATTCAAAATTTTAAATTCTTAGTGTACAAAATACCACATTATTATACTTCTAAACTGTACCTGTCTCTTTCAACTTTTCTTCCATCTCATGCAAGGAATGGATTCCTTCCTCTTCTGGTGAATGGATCACTATTATTGTTGATCCTACAATGCTCAGAGTACATCCTAACTTGCCATGAATGTTCAGTTGCTCATTTAAAACGTATGATGCAAGCACAGCACTGTGTGAATTATAAAAATAGAAAATTAATCAGGATATTGCTATAAAGGCATTTAAAAATTAGAAAATCAATTCTGTGTCTTTCATATCAATGCATGCTACAAGTCCACTTTTTGGGTAATTTAGCATTTTTGTGTTTTGGTGTCAGAGACAACAGATCTGATACAGTATAGATTAGGTGTATAACTATTTTAACATGGTCCATTAATTTGCCTCTCCTGCACAACTGTAAACATCATGTAACTTATGAAAATCTTTTTACTACTAATTAGTACTGAGCCATAAGTAGTTTTATACTTCACTTATTTGCAATGAATCAGTTTACCTACCCATGAAGTTCCTCGATAATGCAGTAAACTAAAGATTGGTTAAAGTTTGAACATTTTTAGCAAGGATCCATGCAAGGTTATGGGATAAAGAGGCTCAAACAGCACAATAGAACTTCTGTGATAGAGCTGTCCTAATATATTATGCTAAAGAGGAGTGTCGACTTGTAGGGAAATTGTGGGAGGATGTAGCCAAGGAGAACGCTTCATCTTATGTTTAGCCCACAAACCAACTTTCCTGCAGGAGTCTCCAGTGTTTTCTAAGAAAACTACTAGTTTACCCATTTTATATTCAATAAAAATATTGCACCATGAAAAAGGAATTAGATCTGCAATACTTTAAGATAGATTTTTGTCAGACAAGAGGATCAAGGGTCAGGAAACCAAAGCCCTTGGATGAAGTTAAGATACTCAGCCATAATCTTATCATTCCGTTTAGCATTCAAAGAGTAGTGTGGCCTTACTTCTGTTTTTGCATTCCTGTTTCATGATCATCTACCCATTTCAGGCAGGAACTTTGTGTTCTTTTTAATTGGTTAGAAAACAAATATCCAGACATTGTTACAGACTGAATAAATAACTACTGTAATTGTCACATTCCAACTGCAGGGAGATAGGGTTCTACAGAGATGTAACTTGCAATGTAACCTGTATGCCTCTAAGTCTTTTTGATCTGTACATTCTTTGCTTGCTGTGATCTGCCTGTACCGTTCGTAAGCAAATCTTTTCACTGTATTTTGGTACACGTGACAATAAAATCAAACAGAGATGAAAATTTCTACTGAGAAATTGAATACAACAATCATCAACAAGGATCACAACAGGGCAATTGATCATTTAGGTTACCATACATAATTTCATTGCTTGCAACTAAATTGTTAAAAGTTATCCCCTTTCTCTTCTGCAGACACTACTTTAATCTGGAGTGTAGGCCTACTGTTGTTAGCCACCTTGGTGTGTTTACAACCAACCAACCTTTCAATGAGTTAAAACAGCCAAGTGTTGGCTGGCTATTCACTGAATATAATAACCCGATCTGACTGAGCCTCATTTACATCCACATTAAATGTGCTTTGTTTCAAGCAGTATTCCAATTGCGGCATTAATAAAAACATACCTTATAAGCACACTTAGCCCACCTAATGGTGTAACCAGTGTAGCAGGTGCAAAAACATAGGCAGCAAAGTTAGCAGCTTCCCCAGCACCCACTGTAAAACAAAATACAACTTGGTGTAAGTTTAGACTCAAGAATTACGCAATCTAAGCTTTCACATTTTGTTTCCTACTGTGCCCTATCCTTTATCTAAAGTTGTTACAAATTCAAAAATATTCTATCTTCTGAACCATCTCAAACAATATTACTTTAATGGGAGATACATATTGAGCTTGCTTGGGCTCACTGCAATGCTCCAGCAAAGCTCAGGGCAAGCTGGAAGAACAGCACATCATTTTCTGCTTGGGAATTCCACAGCCTTCTGGATTGAAGAGATTTCAACAATTTTAGGGCTTGAGGCACCTTCTCCCATGTCCCTTCGCAAATCCCCACAAACCAGGCCTAGTTATCACATGGTCTGCTATTACACACAACTCATTGTTATTCACTGATAGTACCCATTAGTAGCTATTTATTCTTCTAGGCCGATCGTTCTTCATTACTTTGTCTGTCCAACTGTTCTTCACTCTCCTTGGGCTCCAACTCTTCCTACCATTTACTCCTTACTCCCTCCCCCACCCTATCTTCCGCATCTAAACCAACTTTTTCCTTGCTACCTAGACTACACCTCCTCTCATCCACTTTCCTGCAGGAATGTGATCCCCTACTCCCAAATCCTCCGCCTCCACCACGTCTGCTCCCAAGATGGGACGGTCCACTCCTGCACATCCCAGATGTCCTCTTATTTCAAGGACCGTAACTTCCCTCCTCCAATGATTGAAAATGCCCTCAAATGCATCACTTGCATTTCCCGCACCTCTGCCCTCATATCCCCCTCTCCCCAACAAAAACAAAGACAGAATCCCCCTTGTCCTCACTTATCACCCCACTAACCTCTGTATCCAATGTATCATTCACTGCCACTTCTGCCACCTACAATCCCATGCCACAACCAAAGATATAGTTCCCTCCCCACCCCTATCTGCCTTTCATAGGGACCGTTCTCTCCGCGATATGGTCCCTCATGAACTCCACACTCCCCATTAGCCACACCATCCCTGGCACCTTTCCCTGCAACCGCAGGAAGTGCTATACCTGTCCCTACACCTCCCCCCTCACCTCCATTCAAGGCACAAAACAAACCTTCCACAATAGACAGGGGTTCACCTGCACATCCGTCAACTTGGTCTACTGCATCTGCTGCTCCCAATGTGGCCTCCTCTACATCGGTGAGACCAAGCAGAGACTCAGAGACTGCTTTGTAGAGCACCTGCGCTCTGTTCATGACAAATGACAACACCTTCTGGACACGAACCATTTCAACTCCCCCTCCCACTCTCTGGGTGAGATGTCCATCCTGAGCTTCCTCCAGTGTCACAATGACACCACCCGCAAACTGGAGGAGCAGCACCTCACACTCTGCCTTGGGAGCCTATAGCCTGATGGCCTAAATGTGGATTTTACCAGTTTTAAAATCTCCCCAACGCCGGCCTCATCCCACGTCCAACCCTCCCTCTCATCCCCCCCTCCTTGACCTAACACAACCTGTCTGTCTTCTCTCCTACCTATCCACTCCTCCCACCTCACTGACCAATCCCCACCACTCCCTACATGGACTCACCTATCACCATTCCATCTACCTTCCCCAGCCCCACCCCTCCTCTCACTATTTATTTCTGAGCTCCCCTCCCCATTTCTGAAGAAGAGTCCCAAGCTGAAACATCAACTTTCCTGCTTCTCTGATGCTGCCTGGCCTGCTGTGTTCCTCCAGCTCCACACTGTGTTATCTCTGGCTGCAGCATCTGCAGTTCTTACTACCTCTTTTTCCTAAGTACCATCAGTTCTGATAAGGGTCACTAGTCTCAAAACATTAACTCTGATTTCTCCCTACAGATGCTGCCAGACCTGCTGAGCTTTTCCAGCAATTTCTGTATTTGTTACATATTGAGCCTGTTGCCTGTAGGCCTTCAGAGCTGCATTCACAGGGCAGAACTTAGAGAACTATAAGTTGGACAGTACAAATCCAGATTCAGTTAACTGGTATTGAATACATGACGTAGAAACAGAGACCCAAAGAGAGGTATTCAAAAGGATATCTCTTTTGACATCATTTAATTGTGCTGTAGAGGCGATCAAAACCATGATGAGTTTTGATTGAGTGGCAGAAGGATCAGTGACCAGAGGACGGATTTAAGGCCATGGTAAGAGAACCTGAGGTAAAATGAAGTCAATAAAATTTTCACAGCAAGTTGTGATCCAGAATGCACTGTCCAAGAGATAGAAGCAGACGCATTAGCAATTTTCAGAAGGGAACTGAATAAACACTTGCAGGGGGAAGTTTACAGGTTTAATTCTGTCCGGGTAAGTGCCCATTGTCTTGATAACTGCATCAGACATCTGAGAGAAGCATCACAGGGTTTCCATTCGTCTTCCAAACGATGGGCAAGTCCACCAATTCACTCATTAAATTCACCTAATGCCTTGGTAACTCAGCTGATCGATTCCCTACCAATGCTAATATGATAACAGCAGAAGTTTTCAAAGAAAATGGAAAACTTTACTTTTACATGTTCCTAAAACTTTTCTCCAATGTCACTGAGAGCAATGCCTTGTAAAATAATCATCAGCTGGAGACTAAGAGCAGTTCTAGAGGTTTGGCAACCTCAGTCTGATAAAAGAATATTATTCATATTGGCTTTTGTGCTTTATAAGTCATTCTTGCAATTAATTTTGAGTTCTGCAGCGGTTTCTTAAAACCTTGCAGTTATGTGGCCAGTCTTCTGTCACAGATTTCATACTCAGTAGCAGAAGTTAGAACTCCCAGAAGAATAACACCAGATGGAACTGCAACATTCTGCAAAGCAAAATAGCAAAAGCAACACATCTTATCATTGATATAAAGCTGTGAACTGAACAGCTTACTTTGGATCATTGTGAAGAGACAGGAGTCAAATACAAAAAAAAAACATTGTTTTTGAGATTGCTGGCAATTTTGCAGCAGTGGTGAATATACCCTAACAAGCAGGCTTCAGTACACAAGATCAAAGGATTGCCTACATGATGTGTTAAAGGATAAATGGAGAGAAATTATTTCCTTTGGTTGTGGGACTCCTCGGGGACATTCCTTCAAAAATCACAACTCGAATTTCAAAGGTGATTTCACGAATCTCTTAGGCACACAAAGTGCATTTTCTCCCAAAATACTGTTAAGGGTAGATCAATTGAAAATTTTGTAACTGAATTGTGTAGATTTTTGTTAGGCAAGTATTAGGCAAATAAAGCCGGTAGATGTCATGGAGACACATCTCACTGAATACCAGAACAGACTCAATTGTCTACTCATGTTCCTAGTGTATTATCATATCACAGGTCACAGGATCTGGAAAGGAATCACACTAAGTTTCAGGACACACAGAACAAAAGGATTGAGGTTTTTGGAGACCCATGCATTCCTTTACAAATTTAGAATGTTTCTCAGCCAAGGAGCTTTTGTGCTGTTAAACCGATAGCTTCATCACTTGGTTTTATGTTAAATTATTTCCACTGTAGATTAAAGAAAGTTACAATGTACAAGTGCTAGATCATAAGACCAGAAGATATAGAGCAGAATTAGGCCTTTCAGGCCATCAAGTCTGCTCCACCATTTGAATGTGCTACGTTTCTCAATTCCATTCTCCTGCCATTGCTCCATGACTTTTGATCAACTTACTAATCAAGAATCTATTTATCTGTTTAAATACACTCACTGACCTGACCTCTACAGCCTTCAGGGGCAATGAGTTCCATGGATTCACCACCCTTGGCTGAAGAAATCCCTTCTCACAGTTCTAAATGGTTGTCCCTTCACTCTGAGGCCGTGTTCTCGGGTCCTAATCTCTCCTACTTGTGGAAACATCTTCCCCATGACCATTCTATCAAGGCCTCAGCATTCTGTATCTTTCAATGAGATCAAATGATTGCTGAATATGTGTGAAAGCAGGGGAACTGCATTTGTTTCAAATTGTTTTAGCACAACATGGCCTCCTTCTGTGCTATAAGATTCTTAGTGGCATTCTCAAGAATCTGATGGAGAAATAAAAACAATGCCATCAAATATATATTTCAATTGTGGCCAATGATAAATGAGGTGTTGTATTTCATATAGTATCGGTCGTAAGTTGTACCAGTGAAGATATTCTACTTGTGTGATCCTTTTTTAGAGCAGCAAACGAACATAAGAAACATAGAAAACATGGGAAATTTGGCCAGCATGGATAAATTGGACCAAAGGATCTGTTTCTGTGCTAAATGACTGTATGACCAAGTGTTTTTGGAGTTTCACTCATCCAGACAAGTGGGAGGTATTCAATCACATTCCTGACTTGTGCCTTGTAGGTGGTGGATCGGCTCTGGCGAGTCAAAAGGTGAGTCACTAGGTGCAGTATTTCTAGCCTCTGTTCTAGTCCTGCAGCCATCCTGTTTATTTGGAAAGTCCAGTTGGGTTTCTGGTCATTGGTGACCTCCATGATGTTGATAATATGGCATAACACTGAGTTTTCTTTTGGATGTATTGTAACAGGAAAACATCCTGGATCTACTCAAAAATTGCAGTGTTACACATTGGGAAAAATCTTAGGATGTGTGCCTACAAATTCACAATTAGCACTCACGATAAGATAGATTTCATGCCAAGAATACACATTTGGAAAATTGGTCCTTAACGTGCTGTGAAAGAACATAGCATAGTGTATGCTTATGCCAACCACAGACCTAAACACTGACAAATACCTAGCTACTGATATACTTTCCATACTGAGTGTTAAGTTCCAATTTGGTGATGCAGCATCTCCTCCACTTCCCCAGTGCTTCTCCACCCGACTCCTGTTTGTCAGCAATTTTTCCCCCCATTTATTCATGGGAACATGGGTCTCACTGGCTGGGGCAGCATTTATTGCCCATCCCTAATTGCCCTTGATGGGTGATGAACTGTCTTCTTGTATCACTGTCGCCCTTGGGATATAGTGACGTCCACAATGCTGTTACGAGAAAAGTTATATGATTTTGGCCAAACAGTGAGGAATAACAATATAGTTCCAACTCAGAAGGGTGTGTGGTTTCAAGAGGAACTTGATGATGGTGTTTCCATGTAACTGTTGCTCCTATCTTTACAGCTATAGACATCATCAGTTTGAAGAGTGTTGGTGAGTGAGTTTTGTTAAGTTACTGCAGCATACTTTATGGACGGAGCACATTGCTGTCACTGTGCAATGGTGGTGAAGGAAGTAAATGGTGAAGGTCATGGATGTGGTGCCAATCAAGCAGGCTGCTGTGTCATAAATGCTGAAGTGTTATTGGAGCTGCACGCATCCAGGCAAGGGGTGAGTATTCCAAAACACTCTTAATTTGCACCTTGTAGATGGGGGACAGGCTATGAGAATAACCTAAACTAACCTCACAAATGAGAGAAATCCCCTAATGCAATCTTGTCAAGTATTGCCCCTTGAAACCACAAACTCACTTTAAATAGTTTACAGAATTTTTTTTGTTTTACGCTCAAATTAAAAATCAAGTGTGTATTTAACAAAAAAAAAACACTTACTAGAGAGAAGTCCTCCCCACCACAGCCACTCTTTTAGATAGGCATATCCTCCTTGACCTGCAAAATCATAGTAGTACATTCAAATTGATGGATTGAATTTGTGTCCACTTTTGACTAGACAGCAGCTGTTCATTGGGGAACCAAACGGTTGGATTTTCCTCTCTGCTAACGATCATTGCATTTTTCATTAAGTATCACTAACTTAATGTTTTCTTAAATTTATCTAAGATACAACATTATTAGACAGACTAGCCACCATAAGAGATAGCTTATAAACTGTATTCTTATTTCAGACTCCAATTCATTTAAAAACACTAAACATGTTCACGTTTGTGAAATCTTTCAACTTCCAAAGTTTTTAGTAACTTCATTAAACAAAACTAATTTTCTTAAGATGTATTTAAGACCTTAAAACACTTCTCCAAAATGAGTCAATATCCAAGGAGCTATGAAACTGTATAAAATTAACATAAATGTGGCTTTTTAAAATAAAGTTGTTTTTCTTCCATGAGTGTCCAGGACTTGTATAACACTGCCCAAGATTGTTGTGGAGGCAGATTTAATTGTGGCTTCCCAAAGCATAAGAATCTGAAGAAAAGAAAACTGCGCAGCTACAGGGACAAAGACTAGCTCTAGCCGAGTTGTTTTAACAGAGACTGGCCTTGATGTGATGGATCAAATAGGCTAATTCTCTGATGTAAATATTCTGTGTGAAGGGTGCACTGAAACCCTGATAAATCCAATAATAAAACCAAGTAAATGTAACCATGAAGATTTATAGTTCACCATGCATGTATTTTGAGAGTTCCAACGTTCCTGTGAAGATGTTTATTTCGCTAAAAGTTAATTCACTTACTTCCAATCTTCTCAAAGACCTTCCCACTCATTTTACACAATAAAGGACTTGGAAGAACTACAAAAACTAAGGGGCTTCATTTTAAATTTATATTCCTCATATTGCTTTTAAAATCTCTACAGGATGGTGTACATCATTCAAGAGTTCAGACTCTTAGAATCATAGCATCCGTGCAGTGTGGAAACAGGCCATTTGGCCCATCAAGTCCATACCAACTGTTTGAAGAGCTTCCCATCCTATCCCTGTAACCCACATTTCCATGGCCAATCTACCTAACCTGCACATCTTTGGGCTGAGAGGGGAAACTGGGGCACTCGGAGGAAACCCACAGAGTCACGGGGAGAATGTGCAATCTCCACACAGTCATTGAGAGTGGAATCAAACCTGGGTCCCCCTGGTGCTGTGAGGCAGTGGTGCTAACCATTGAGCATGTTCCCAGGTCCCTGAAAGTGGTAGAACAGGCAAAGATGGTAAAGGAGGCAAATAGGATGCTTTCTTTCATTGGGAAAGGTATTGATGACAAAACTAGTTTTGCAATACTGAACTATGCAAGACACTGCTTAACCCACAACTGCACTGGCGTACACAGTTCTGGTCACATGATTACCAGAAAGACATAATTGCTTTTGGAAGGAAGAGAAGCCCATGTGTAATTAGTCTGCACCCTGCCCAAATCACCAGAAAGCAGAGCCAGTTAAATAATAAACTGAACCTGTAACTCCTTCCTAAACAGCACTATGTCTACGTACACCACACAGACTGCCGCCTTTGATTAGCAGCAGCTCACTACAACTAAGGGCAATTTAGGACGAACAATAAACACTGGCATAGTGATAAAAATAATAGTAATATCCACATCCTTTTGAACAAATAAAAGAGAAAAAGAACCAAGTTGAGTTTCAGTTAACACCATCTATCAATGCGAAAACCCACAAAAAAAAGGTCACGGACGTCAAGGCCATTTTTCACAAATGCAAAGATAGCCAAAGGTGCTGTGATAGGTGGGTGAGAGAAGAAGGAAGCAAGCTAAAGAGCGAGGTTCAGCAAAAAAAATGTTGGGTGAGAAAATTAGTGACAACAATAACTTTATGTTTAGATAAAAAGCAAGAACACATAACCAATTGACCAACTTAAAAAACAGCAATTCTATAGAATTTGTCACTGCAGTCTGGAAGAAATTCATACAAATTTTCTGAAATCATTAGATGACTTCATTTGGAAATAAGCATATAACATTCATATCCTGGAACATTTCATTAATCAAAGCTTAACAGCAAGGGAATGTTTTAAGGTGCTTGTGTAATGGTAATGTCACTGGACTAGTAATCCAGTACCTCAGACCAATGTTACATGAATAAAAGCAAAAGACTGTGGATGCTAATCTGAAATAAAAATAAAATGCTGGAGAAAGTTAGCAGGTCTGGCAGCATCTGTGCAAAGAGAAACAAAGTTAATGTTGAGTTTGATAGGCCCCTTCTTTACAGCTTCATGCTCTGGGGAAATGGGTTTGAATCCCACCATAGTAAATGGTGAAATGTAAAATCAATGAAATGTAGAATTAAGAGATAGTCTAAGAATAACCATGTTACAATGGACACTGGTCATAAAAATGAATTGCTTCACTATTGTCCTTTAGAGAAAGAAATCTTTTGTCCTTACTTATATGTGATTCTAGATACACACCAAAGTGGTTGACACTTCACAGCAATCTGAAATGCCCTAGTGAGCTACTCAGTCACATTAAGCCATCACAAAGCCCAAAAGGAATTAAACTCTCAGACTATCTGACATCATCCTCGGCACTGGAAATGACAAAAGGCGAACCTGTTTTCCCAGAAAAGTCCTTCTTATTAATCTCTGGATGCTTGCACCAAAGTAGAAGAACAGTTTCACAGACTAGTCAAGCAACTACCTCACATTTGAACTCTCAGAATCTAACCTTACAGAAAGGAATCTCTGACACCACCCTGAAAAGGTCATGTCCCACTGGCAGGACTGGGCCAAAAGGGGTGGTGGTACAGTTTATAGAATCCCTTTACAAGTCCTCAACATTGATTCTGGACCACATGATGTTTCACGACAGCAAGTCAAAACATGGGCAAGGTGGTAAAGGTAAGGTCAGCATAGTCCTCATTAGAGAGAGATGACCAGTGGTGAGTCTAACCTGAGGGCCAGACTCAGACAGGATCCTCATGTTAATCTTGGATGGAACGGGTATTGAACCTGCACTGTTGGCATCATTCTGTATTACAAACCAGACATCCAGACAACTGACCTCCTGGCCAAATGCAACACTGAAGAAGCTTGACACCATCCAGGACAAAGCCACCTGCTTAATTGGCACTATCCACAAGCATTCAGTCCCTCCACAGTAGCAGCAGTGGGTACCAACTGCAAGATCCACTGCAGGCTATGCTCCTCAGACAGGACCTTTCAAATCTCGTGATTAATACCATCTAGAACGATAAAATCAGCAGATACATCGAAACACCACAATCTGAAAATTCCACCTCTAGTCACTCACTATCTGGACTTGGAAATATATCACGGTTCCTTCTGTCTGTGGCTAAAATCCTGGAATACCTTCCTGACAGCATTACGAGTCCACCTACACCAAATGGACTGCAGTGGTTCAAGAAGGCAGCTCACTGTCACCTTCTCAGGTGCAATTAGGAATTGGCAATAAATGCTGGCCAGCCAGCAATGTCCACATCCCACAAATGAAGCCAAAACAATGCAATGCAATCACTTACCAAGGCTCCTTTCGCAGTACCTTCCAAAACTGTGACAGCTGCCACCTAGAAGAACAAGGGCAACACCACACCAAGTTCCTGTCCAATCCACACACCATCCAAACTTGGATTATTAATTGTTGCTCCTTCACCTGCACTGGATCAAAAATCCTGGAACTCCCTTCCTAACAGCACATCCAAGAACTGCAGTAGCTCAGCAAGATAGTTCACCATCAGCTTCTCCAAGGCAATTAGGGACAGACAGTAAATGCTGGCCTAGTCAGCGATGGCCACATCCAGGTATGAATAAATGAATGTTATTTATTGGAAAAACACACCAAAAAGAAGAAAAACTCTGCTCCTATGATGCTGCTTGGCCTGCTCTCGGATTCTCCAGCATCTGCAGTTCCTACTATCTTTATATAAAGCCAACAAGTTTAGGATCTCTACTTTCATTAACCTGCTGGAATATAGCGGAACTGTTTGCCCAACTGTAACAATGCATACTAAGTGTATAAAAATATCCAAAATAAAAGGGTTAACTGGGCCACAATCAAAAGAAAACTGTGTCTTTTGCAATGCTAAGGGGCTGTGTTACAAAGTGTCCAAGCTGGACAGAAAAACAAAGTATACTTAGAAACTCACTTCAGCCAAGAAAAGAATTTCATGCAGAACTCTAATTGCCCTGCTCACACTAACTTCTGTTTTCTTTCCTGGTTGTTCATAAGAAAATAATAAGCTCTTTACTGACAAACCACCACAAAACAGCAGACTCATCCACAAGTACTATTTCACACATTTGAGTTCATGTGAAAATTACACTAATTTGACAAAAGAATTGATTAGCAATAATTTACAAGTACGTCTACAAAGCCAATCATCTGTCAAACGTACACTAGGGAAATGATTTCAATCTGGAAAAGAATGACTTACCAGCTCTTGTAATTCCTTTCTCAGACACTCGCAAGAGACCTTTCTTCTTAAGTATAAAGCTGCATCCAGTGAGGAGACTAGAGGTGACTGCTAAGGCCAATCCAATGTACAAGTTGTATCGTGCTTCAGGCCATTTTATTGTTTCATGTTCAGTTCCGTTTAATTTTTCACATGTTCTGTGAGGTTGTCTATCTTTTACTTCAGTTATGTTGATCACCTGACACAAAGCCCATTGAGACTTATTAGAACATGGTACTGAAACGAAGGAACCTGTAGGGATAGAAAACAACTTTTTAAGAAATATAAAATAAGTCTTGAGGCTTATAGAATGAAAGCATTTTTATTCCAAATTCAAATGACTAAAGAATGCAACATTTCCAAAATTGCATTTAATAACTCACTGCTATCTTGCCCAGTACATTCAGTTCAATTTTTTGTTTTGCTGTTGACCAAAATATGGTGTGGGGAGCCATTTTTCATTGATCCCTGGCTTCCAGGTTCCACTGATCAGTATGAAGATTTTGCTGAGTAAAGCAAGACTCGATAATTACTGGTGTGATTTGGTGTAATTATACGCTACCTGATTTGGCTCAGGGATGTACACTGACATAAACAATCAAGCAAGGGAACCATACCAACAAACTTCATTTCCGCATACTTTACAAAAATAATTTACTGCCACTGAATTTCTTTTTAACTGAATCCGTATTGTTTTGTAGACAATCACAGAAAACAGCATGTTCAATATATAGGGGATAAAACATAACTAGATGAAAGCCTTGAAGGGTGAAACAAACATTGAAAGGACAGGCCTTCCCTTCTTCAAAATTCTGAATTTTTGCAATAAAAAAGTTGTGCTTTCTCATCAATGTGTTTTTCATTCTTTGTGCGAAAAGGAATTTAATTTTTGAAAATAGAACCGGTCACTTCTTCAAAAGTTACCAAACAGTAAATATAGCACTAACCGCAAATCCAATTTCTAGAGGTGTGTTATCCCATCTAAACCCAGCTGAGATGGAATGTAACTCATCCAACTAGCTAGCATTTCACAGAAACCTCTTCATGTTCTCCAACCCTCCTATTTTATGGTGACATTCTTCTAAATCCTCCTCAATTCAACCTTGAAAAGGAGATAGAATACAAAGGGGGAGGTACAGAATCTTGGTCAGATCCAATCTGTATCACTGTGTTTACTTTGAAAGTATATCTCAGGAAAGAAACACAGGCCTAGGAATAGTAAATAGAAAATTTACTATTAAAATCGTAAATTTAATAGAACCATGCTAGGGCTTAGAGTTCCATTTTGAGGATAACTTACATACATTTGTTTTCTTTCGAGTTTAGAAAAGACAAGGGATAATCTTTTCAAAGTGTTCTGAAGGTAAAGGACTTGCTCGAGCACAACATAATCTACTTCTGCTGATGCAGATAACGAGAACAAGATAAACCAATGGGGTAAAATTAAAGATTCAAATAATTCTCCCAATCTACCATTAGCAACCATTACATACATGTCAAATTTGCTGGAACAATTTTTTTTATTGTTGTGCTACCTTTGCTTTCCATTTTCCAAGTACCAACAAGCAACAAAACTAAAATGCTTCTTCATCTATTTACCCTGGTCATAATGCTATAACCATAGACACATGCAAATTGCATTGCAAGATTTTTTTCAGCATCACCTTTTACCTTGGTGACAAGAGATATTTCATAGACTATTAGAATTTGTAACTTTAGGATAACTAAATGTTCTTAAAGATAATTAAAATTGCAGTCATGAACAGTGAAACTTCTACATGGTTTGTTGGATTGAAGTGTGGTAGATGAAGAAGTTTGTTTTTCTAACTCTAATAAAAGAAACCTTAAGTGGAATACAAACTGTCAACCAAATGCAGGATTTACGACCACAGTTGAACGACTAGTAACAATGTTGGGCTCTATACGACAGGATGCTAGGACACTGTAGTTTCATTAAGGTAACATCTAGGGTGAAGAACCACAAATAAAACAAACTGAAACGTTAGGTTAAGGGACTAGGCCCGAAACGTCAGCCTTCCTGCTCCTATGATGCTGCTTGGCCTGCTGTGTTCATCCAGCTCTGCACCTTGTGGTCTCAGATTGTCCAGCATCTGCAGTTCCTACTATCTCTGAAACGTTAGGTTTATTTTCATCGGAACTGAGGATATTACAAGGTAATTTGATAATTTAACTACTAAAACGTATGGCACTGCACATAGAAACCGGTTGTTTCCAATGAAAATGAAACCGAGAATAGGGGAAAATCTGATAAAGTTAGTTTTTCTTTAAAGTGATGTCTTGGTATGATTATTGATTGAATAACTATTTACAGATAAATAAATGATTAATCGGAAAAAGAATGGTAATTTCAAACAGGGTGAGCGAGAACGAATAACCACCGAGAGTGGTTGTGTAGTGGTTCTACTAAATGGCCTATTCCAAGTTATAATTTTACTTTATGCTCTGACAACGCAGTCAAATCCGATATTCAACATACATTCACTTCAACTGCAAAATAACAATACCCCCAGACACAGGTCAAATTAGAACATCCTTTTGCTTCAAATTGCTCGTGTATTAGTTGTGCAGTAAAGTAATTAAATAGTACAGGAAAATATTGTCCAACCGTGCTGAACAGAATCACTACAGTCAGAATAATCACAGTACATTACCCTCAACACATTGTTCACATCGCGGTCCTGAATCCATAGATTTCTGTGAGCAGCTGGAAACGAGGTTGTTTGTTTAGCAGAACAAAATCATGAACAAACCTTCTGAGCTTAAAAAAAATTATTTATTGAAAGTTTCTGCTGCACAACATAGACCCGCCTGGTGCTCACCGGCTCTACCTGCGAACTTGTTTTACTTCCTCGAGGAGACCGGGCTCCAGCTGTGGCCCCGCCCCTAGCGCGCGCCGCTCCAGATTGCCACCTGTCACTCACTACCAGTGCCGCAGGTAAGTGAGGAACGTGTGCCCACCTCGCCTTGCCCGACATTGCACCATCCGGTACCCCACCCCATCCACATTGCTGCTCCATATCCCCACCCCCATCCCCGTCTCACAGCTCTCCTTCTGCCACACCCCCACAATAATCATTACCAGAACAGTACTTGGAGGATGCCAACCAGGAGGTGGGCAGGGCGTTTAATTTTGTTTCGGGGTGTGGGAAGAGCTGGAGGAGTTGTGCCTTGATCTGCAGCACCTTTCTACCACCATTAGTATTTATTTTTGATAAGGAAGGCCTAGGGTCAATTCTTTTATATTTATATATGTTATGAAATCAACCTGTTCACAGATGTTATTACACACCTCTGGAGAAGGTTGGACTTGAACCTGGGCCTCTCAGTTCAGGACACAATGAATGCACCACCAGTGTCCCATCAGAGCTAAGTTTCCCATCTCACCACTAATTGAGGCCATTAAGTGGCCAATTAATAACCACATAAGTGCCTCAGTCTGCCACTGCTGGGATTAACCTAGGTGCAGCATTGACAAGTGATCCTCCCAATGGGAAATAAAGTGCAGTCTGCTTGTCAGGCAGAGTTTGATCAGGTCATGATACAGGGGAAAGGGGACAAGGCATAGTGGTGCAGTTTGCCACTTAAAGCCAATGCCCTGCCCTGCCTTTATTTCTGACCCCAATGTCCCCTTCTCCCAATGATCTCCAGTCCTGGTACCTCCCTCCACCACAACCTCCCCTCCATCCAAAATGCCTTTGGCCTTGATCCTTGTTGCTGGAGTTGTTTTTCTGGCTGTGACCGTAACCTTCCAAGAGATGCTGTGAAGTGAAGGAACTGTTAGCCAGAAGCTCCTATTGTGAGGGATATCCATTCCCCTGAAACGTAGAGGAAGGCCGAATACTGTCCTCGTAAGTGCCTAATGCCACTTTTCAACAGGTGAGACACCAACTAAACTCAGGATATTCTATTTGTACCGTATTACAATACCCTAAAGGGTGACAAACTGTTAAGAACTAAAGAGAGGAACACTTTAACATTGGATGGTAAGAATGGCAGTGGGGTTATGAGTACAGATGGAAGTAAAAAAATGTGGCATATGGGCTGAGTTAATCAGGAAGGATGAGAAATTTCAATTTCCCGATGGTGGAAGTATGGAGATTAATTCAATGGTGTGTTTATGGTGTGTCAAGCCTCATGTCAGACTGTAGCATGTTCATGCTTGTAATGTAGCCTCCCACGAATACTTACTGGTATAAAACCTATTTTAATTATGAGATAGTAAGAAGTGCTGATGCTGGAGTCAGAGATAACACAGGGTGGAGCTGGAGTAACAGAGCAGGCCAGGCAGTGTCAGAGGCATAGGAAAGTTAACATTTTGGATCAGGACCCTTCTTCAGAAATGGGGAGGGGGAAGGAAGCTCAGAAATAAATAGAGAGAGGAGAGTGGGGCTGGGGAAGGTAGGTGGGATGATGATAGGTGAGTGCAGGTAGGCAGTGGTGGAGATTGGTCAGATAGGTGGGAGGGAAGATGGACAGGTTGTATCGGGTCAAGGAGACGGGGATGAGAAGGAGGGTCATTCATGGGATGAGGCCGGGGGTGGGGAGATTTTGAAATTGGTACAGTCCACATTTAGGCCATTGGGCTGTAGGCTCCCAAGGTGGAATATGAGGTGCTGCTCCTCCAGTTTCCAGGTGGCATCATTGTGACACTGGAGGAGGCCCAGGATGGACACGTCGCCCAGGTAGTGGGAGGGGGGAGTTGAAATGGTTTGCGACTGGACGGTGTTGTCGTTTATCACGAACAGAGCGCAGGTGCTCTCCAAAGTGGTCTCCGAGCCTCCACTTGGTCTCATCGATGTAGAGAAGGCCACATCTTGAGCAGTGGATGCAATAGACCACATTGATGGATGTGCAGGTGAACCTCTGTCTGATGTGAAAGTTTTGTTTGGTGCCTTGAATGGAGGTGAGGGGAAGGTGTAGGGGCAGGTGTAGCACTTCCTGTGGTTGCAAGAAAAGGTGCTGGGGGGGTGGTCTGACTAGTGGGGAGTGTGGAGAGGATGATGGAGTCACGGAAGGATTAGTCCCTACGAAAGGCAGATAGGGATGGAGAGGGAAATATATCCTTGGTTGTGGGGTCAGATTGCAGGTGGCAGTGAATGGGATGTGGATGTGGAGGTGAGTGGGGTGATATGTGAGGACAAGGGGGATTCTGTCTTTGTTTTTGTTGGGGGGAGGGGATGTGAGGGCAGAGGTGCGGGAAACGCAAGAGATGCGGTTGAGAGCATTTTCGACCACCGAAGGGGGGATGTTGCAGTCCTTGAAATACGAGGACATCTGGGATGTTCGGGAGTGGAAAGCCCCACCTTGAGAGCAGACGCAGCAAAGGCGGAGGAATTGGGAGTGGGAGATCACATTCTTGCAGGAAGGTGGGTGAGAGGAGGTGTAGACTACGTAGCTGTGGGAGTCAGTTGGCTTGAAATAGACTAACACATTTACTGACACCTAACTTTATTAACATCTCTCCCCTAACCTCAAGTTCACCTGGACCATTTCTGATACCTCTCTCTCCTGCCTGGACCTCTCTGTCTCCATCTCTGGTGACTGCCTCGAAACTGACATCTATTTCAAGCCCACCAACTCCCACAGCTACCTTGACTACACTTCCTCTCACTCACCTTTCTGGAAGAATGCGACCTTCTACTTTCAATTCCTCCGCCTCCACTGTGTCTGCTCCCAAGATGGGGCATTCCACTCCCGAACATCCCAGATGTCCTCTTATTTCAAGGACCACAACTTCTCCCCTTCATTGTCGAAAATGCTCTCGACCGCATCTCTTGCGTTTCCCGCATCTGTGCCCTCACATCCCATTCCCCCTAACAAAAACAAAGATAGAATCCCCCTTGTCCTCATGTATCACCCCATTAACCTCCTCATCCAATGTATCATTCTCCACCACTTCCACTACCTGCAATCCGACCCCACAACCAAAGATATATTTCCCTCCCCACCTCTATCTGCCCTTTGTAGGGAGTGCTCTCTCCGTGACTCCCTCATCCACTCCACACTCCCCACTAACCCCACTCGCCACGGCACCTTTCCCTGCAACCGCAGGAAGTGCTACACCTGCCCCTACACCTCCGCCCTTACCTCCATCAAAGGCACCAAACAAACCTTTCACATCAGACGGAGGTTTACCTGCACATCCGTCAATATGGTCTATTGCATCCGCTGCTCCTGATGTGGCCTCCTCCACATTAGTGAGACCAAGTGGAGGCTCAGAAACCGCTTTGTAGAGCACCTGCGCTCTGTTCGTGACAAACAACAACACCTTCTGGTCGTGAACCATTTCAACTCTCCCCTCCCACTCCCTGGGTAACATGTCCATCCTGGGCCTCCTCCAGTGTCACAATGACGCCACCCAGAAACTGGAGGAGCAGCACCTCATATTCCGTCTTGGGAGCCTACAGCCCAATGGTTTAAATGTGGACTGTACCAATTTCAAAATCTCCCCACCCCGGCCTCATCCCATGACCAACCCTCCCTCTCATCCCTGCCTCCTTGACCCGACATAATCTGTCCATCTTCCTTCCACCTCACTGACCAATCCCCACCATTGCCTACCTGTCACCATCCCACCTACCTTCCCGAGCCCCACCTCTCCTCTCTCTCTTTATTTCTGAGCTCCCTTCCCCCTCCCCATTTCTGAAGAAGAGTACTGACCTGAAACATCAACTTTCCTATGCCTCTGATGCTGCCTGGCCTGCTGTGCTCCTTCAGCTCCACACTGTGTTGTCTCTATTTTGATTATGACTTATTTTCAAGATAAAGTCGGGATGCATGAGAACCTTGTGGCATCAGATCCAACTTTGTATAAAGATAGCATCCAACAATTAGTTTTGTGTAGTTGTGCCTGAGGTTAGCAGTTTTCCTTGATAAGGATGGGGCAGTCCACATGGAGGAGTGAAGTGAGAAGGGTGTGGTGTCCTGGATGTGGTGAGGACATATGTGAGAATAGTCAATCAAGCAAAGAAAATGAGATGCCTCAAGAGAGGATTTGCTTTCATGGTCACAACTTTCCTGCGCAACTTCATTGCAATTAATATAAAACTTATGACTGCATACAGTGCTGGAGGCCATGGGTGTTGTTCAGAATTAAGTGTTACTTGTAAATATTTCACATCAAATTAGTTTCACTTTATTCATGCGTGCATTATCTTTATTTGCTGGGATTCTATAACTTATGACTATGACTTCAATGTACTGGCATGACTCATGGTTGCGTCATTCATGGTTACAAGGAAGTTAGGAATATTTTATTTATTGTAGAAGAAACAAGTATTGTATTTTTGTGCTCATTCTTTATTGAATGATCATATTAGTGTCCAAAGTCATACTCACCACCCATAAGCCAGCAATACACACACTCAATGATTGATTTTTTTTTTAAAAAGAAAGTTGCATTATTAGTATGAATGCTTTAATTGAATAAGCGAAACAAACAATTGATCCCTTTCAGTACTATTATACACAATAAATGAAATTTTCACCATGCTTCCTCCGTGAACTCAAAATAATCAGTTTATTAATTGCTATAATAAATCAAATTGCTGACAGCTGTAAAATGACAGAACGTACTCAGTTTGGATTGAAATCAAGCAGATCTGAATCTTTGGAAAGTTGTCACAGTTCAGTTTTTCAGGGATTTTAAGGTAGTCCGAAATACTGACTAATAATTGGAAACTTCATTAGGTTCCAAAGGACTTTTAATGAGAAAGTGAGAGAGAGAGATACTTGCAGCTTCTCCAGTTCTTTTCCTTACAATCATCTATGTCTGTGAAAACAGAAAGCCAAGTCCAGCTAAACAACTATCAGAGCCACCGAT